TGTCCAAAGCAATGTGATCCATCTCCAAAAGTGTCAACGCAGGCCGAATCCAAGCCCTGCCCTTCGAGAGTCGAAGCATCGGAGACCCCAAGCCCCACCCAAACCCTTGCAGCCGAAGATGCGAGTCCGCCGCAGCCGCCGTAATTGCCGTAGTAGGCAGCCATTGGGTCGCTGGCAATGCCTGCTTCCCGACATAGGACGCTGGCAAGACCACAATCCCAAAGACCAGGGCGCGAGTATACCGTAAGCCCGAAACCTGAAGTCCCTCAGTCTCAACCACGAACCGAGAACCCCTCAAGCCCGAACCCAGGAGGTCCTGGTGGACTTGACTGGGGGGATTTGGGCGTCTTTCTTGGGGATAGAGTAGTCTTTATTAGGGAATTGGAGGGTTTGGATCAAGCTAGAACCTTCAAAAGTTTCTTAGCTTCTCTCTCTGAGCCCTCAATGGTAGGGCCAAGTTGGTTGCGCCTGGTGCTCCTGAGGCTCCGTAGCCCGAGCTGCCGTAGCCTGGTGGAGTCTGTGAGACCAACGATAGGCAAAAGAGGTTTCGGAGAGCAGGCCAGTTGCAAATGCTATTGATTTTGTGGCGCGCTTTGGTTTCAGGTTTCAGAGGGTGTGAGCCGCGAGTTGCCGGCCGGGCTTCAAGTGAAAAAGCTTCTTGCTTCGCACACCTTGTTCCGTCTGCCTTTTCTCTTCGTGTTTAGGATCAAGTCCGGCTATGTCCGGCTTGGACTACTACACCTTAACCCCTGACCCGAACTCCAAGCTTCAGAACCGAAACTATGGTTTTCTGGTTCAGGCTTGCCGTATGTTCTCGTGGATACGAGAAGGTTTAAGCTAGCGGGGCCTCGGGTCTCATACTCCAAAACCCAATCCCCCCAAAGCCGTTTTGTACTTGGAACCGTGGTCGTTCTCACTCCGAATAGTCAAGCCTCGAAGCAAACCCTATCATGCTCCTTCCAGACACCACCGAGGAAGGGAGCATTTAACAGCATGTCTCACGCTTCGCCTAGCCCAGGAGGTCGAAAACACCGAACCCGTAAACCTCGAATCGACCCCGGAGGTTTGGAAGTTTTGCGTTCGAGGGTGGGGCAGTTTGATCTCTGGACCCGGCAAACGGCCGAGGGGCTGAGATACAAACGGGGCTCGACATGCAATGTAACTTGGGTCAGGACAAAGGCGCAAACGGCACTGCACGCCCAATTCTTACCCTCTCCTTCCTTTGTGATGTCTCCTACTATCCCGTGGGTAAAAGGTCTCTGTGCCAAGAGCGACCTGCGGCCGCCATCTGCTGCATGTACGCGGTGTAGTCTGCAGGTGAGGAGCCGTAGCCATAGGCCTTAGATCCCCAAACCCCGACACCCGCGTCCCGAAGTCTTGAAGTCTAAACTCCGACTCCTACACGAGACTCTGAAAACCGGAATGTCAGTTCAGAAGTCACTCGGCTCAAGACTTGCAGTCCCTGTTAGGCATGTTTTTGGCTTCGGCATCGAAGATCCGGCGGTCCGGGGGAGACTTAGCCTCACGCCTTGGATCATAGAGCCTCACTTCTGCCTGGAACCTGGATCTTGCAGTAGCCGAGGAGCCGAATAAGCGGCGGCGTACTGCGGGTATGCCTGCGCATAAGCCTGAGCTCCGGAACGCCGTCCCATCATAGCATTGAACAGATGAAGCCTCCGAGGTTGTTCGTGTTTCCACAGCCATGATCCGAGCCGCTTGTGTAGGTCATGGCGGAGTGCTTTGTACTCAAGTGAAACTTATAGGCTGTACTGGGGCCTTCGTTTTTCCTGAATATCTTTCCACGAGACCTTCCGGGCTTTTGGCACCCAGTGGCATGATGAAGACCCATAGTGGCTGTTCCAAAAAACGGAAAAAGATCCACAGGCTGAATGTCTGTACGAGCACCCTAAACTGCTCTGCTGACTCCCACACCTCAAGTGCTAAACTGCCATGATAAGTTCCTGAAGCCCAAGCTGCAAGGCAGCCCCCAACCACAAAGTCTAGAGTCTAAAAGCTCAAACCCCCGCAGTATGGGAAATGGCACACACAAAAGCGGCAAGATTTTGTCGCACAAGGATACCGTTGTCACCACCATAAGGAGCACAAGAAGGCGGAGGCCCTCAAGATCAAAACTGGTCTCCGCAATGTGCAGAAAGTCCGGCATCACCCTTTCAAGTAATCGGCCCTGGACAGTCACATCCCTCCAGCTTCCAAGGGGCCGCGTAGGAGTATGCCTGAGCTGTGCCGGTGGCGAAGGAGCGTCGAGGTCCATTGACTCACGAGACTCAAAACTGAACTCCTGTGGAGACCCCTAGGAACAGTCGTCCATAGGCTGTTCAGGCCATGGTTCTTCGTTGTCTTGGGACTTCTGAGGTGATCCCGAAAGTAGCCTTACATTCCCGATTAATGCAAATGATAAGGATCTCTGCAGCCCATCGCTCGGCTACCGATCCTTCCTTCGTCCGCCCGCCCGCCGCGGCCCCACGCAGAACGCACCTTTTGAAACGCACCTGTGTGAACCCAACCAAAAAACCCCTTCATCTTGCGGCCAAAGCTCCGATGGATATCCCTGAGATCGGGATCGGATCAAAGAGTCAATGGGTCTGAAGTCTTGCGCTGAAATCAGACAGCAAGAAATCCGCCACTTCACGGGCAAGCTCTTGTTAACTGCCCTTGCCCCTCGGGAATATGCAGGAATCCCCCAATACAACCCCTCGACAAAATTTCGAGGCAGCCTGGTAGTCGCAATTGGGATGGTTTGACTTTGCTCGGTTTACAGGAGGGTCTGAATGGAGCTTCAGGCACCCCAAAACCGGAATGGCAAGCATACACAACTAGTGCTTAGAGGTAGAAAGCTGCGAGTGGTAGCATCAAGTTCCCAAAATTGGGGTTTGAGGCTTCACGGGCCTTGACGCAAGCCCACAACCTGCTTCATTGCCTTTGAACATCGCAGGAGCACCCCAAATCCCGAATCCAAAGACCGTCCCTTCCCACTTTGAATCTCCCTGCATGCCGAAACCTGAAACGTTTCTCCTTGCCGGGGAGAGGCATATGCACCATAGCTCCTTGGGCCCCGGTTCTGTGGGCTTCCGCAGCCAAAGGTTCAGGGTGCAGGGGGTAGAGTTTTGACGTAGGTTCCAAGATTTGTGGTTTGGGGTTTCATACTTTTGTTAGTTGTCTGACTTCTGTGATAAGGAAACGACACCTGTTGTCCAGACTGCTACAATCAGGACAACCAATGTGACCACGACTCCTGCATCGTGGCTGCTGCTGCTGGTTCATGTGCTGAGTGTAATCACTTGTAATATCTTGTAATGATTGTAAGGGCATGATTCCGACCACGATTGTCCTCGTGAACGTTTGGGCTCTTCATCACAATACCCGACGCCTCTTCTAAACTCGGGATCCCTTCAATGTGGCTTGGCTGTTTAGGCTTGAGGTTTTATGTTGCAGCTCCTGGTCTCACAATGCAAACTCTTGGCCCCACAGATCCTTGAAGCCTTGAAGCCAGCGACCGCCAAACCCTGAGCCCTCGGGCGCCGCCAAAGCCAGGGCACGACATCATCATTTGATAGGACGCGCTGGACGATGCAGCGGCTTTTGCATCCTGACATCGGAGAAGGCTCGCTCGCTCTCTTCGCCCCTCTCTCTCTCTCTCTCGCTCTCGCTCTCTCTCTCCGGGCTTTTAGAATCAGGGCCAATCTTGGCTTCGACAGCGATAACTGTGATGATGCGCAAACATCCGAAATCACCTTGACACGAGCAAGAAAGCCCAAAGTAGTTCCATTAAACGAAAATGCACGCCCATCCGTGCCTGACACACCTCCGCAACTCCGAATATGCGGCGACCTGACCAAAACAGGATGCCTTCTCATCGTCCTTAGATTCCTCCTTCGAGTCATCCGAGGAGTCGTCCGACATGACCCTGGCGGCGTGATGGGCTTTCGAGGCTCTCTGTCTCGAAAGTTCCACCATCGCTTGGTGTTCGATCTTCAATGCTAGTTTTGGAGAATGGCTCAAACAACAGTGCCTGACATGCTCAGGCCGGGTCGGAAGTCGAGGCCCTCTCGAGATTTTGGCGAGTGCTCTTAGGCGTTGGATGGTAAATCCTTCAGCCTCCTTCTTTGTCCTGCTTAGTTATATGTGGGGGCTTCTTCTCAAGATGTTCAGTGGATTCAATGGTTACAGCCTGGCTTTAGGCAGGGCCGGTGAGTCAGAGTTTCCTACTGGAAGGTTCCAGGAAGACTAGCAAGAATAGACCTCAGTTCAAGCAGAACAAGGCAGACTTGCCTGCAATTCCGGCTCCTACACCAGCGATCCGAATTTTGTATGTAACCCCTGAAGCAGAGCAATCAAAAACCACCGTAAGCCATCAATGGTGAAGGCGGCCGCCTCTGCGCCAAAGCCCGTCCGTGCGGAAGGCGGCCAAGCAAGGGCGCGGAAAGCGAGCTTGCAAAGCAGCTAGCTGTTTGTCTGCTGGCTGACTGGCTTGGGCAAGGGTCCGGGGCTTGTAGGGGCTCAGGCTGGTGGGGTGGCACGTGCGCTGAAGGCTCGACTCTGGGATCAGCAGTTGTCGCTTGTTTCGCTTTTGGGTCTGAGGGTGTGGTCCTGGGCTTGGAGGCTACTGAGGGGAGACTTAATGGGGAGAGAGGTGGTGTCGGTTGCCCCTTGCCGCAGATCAAAATCTCCTCCGACCTTGTTTTCTTCTCCCCAACACGCCAAGCTTCGGCCCGAACGGCAGGATAAGGAGGCAAAGGCTTCTTCAGGGATTTTCGGGTGATAGTCTCGTGTGAGCGGGCCCACTACAGATACCAGAGCCTTTTCAAGAAGCTCCGTTAGCTAAGCACCCAGAGGTTTTCATGGGGCCCCATAACTGAACGGCGCTAGTTACTGTTTTACGGCTTCTACCACGGAATATCTTTGGCACAAACTCGGTGTACGTTCTACGACCCAACAAGCCAACGTCAGGACTGCAGAGCCATGTCTCTGTGCCCCAAAGCCTTGTGAGTTCGTGGGCGTCCGGTTGCATCGCTGGACGTCGTCCAACTTGGTAAGGATGTCATATGCCTCGCTCCGGTCTAGTTCGGACTTAGAACGCAGAGTATCCATCCAGTGCATACCGAGACAAGCGCACAACCAGATGCACACGGAAACCAAGACTCAAAGAGACAAAAAGGAACTTCTTACTTTGCATCCGTCTGGAATGGCCAGGACTCCAAACATGAAAGGCGCCAGGCCTTCTAGCCCTTTTGAGTTCCCAATCCCAAATCATACACTGCCATCCTCAAACCTTGAATTAGCCTGAATCCCTAAGCGTCGCCCTAAACCCCTCGAAGCCCGGAAGCAGCTCCCTTAACCCACCCACCTTGTCCGTTCTGCCCTTCTTCAGATCGCTGGTCAGCTCATTCTGGCAGGTCGAGGCTCTTCAAACACCGGATTCCTACCCCTGTTGCTTCGAGGGTCTCCGCCGTGAGGGGTGTTGTCTTACCCTTTTAGGACCACGGCGAATAGTTATGACTCTGGGCGGACGCCGCACATCTTGTGGCCTCTAGGGACGAAGAGCATGGAACGAGCTCCCCAAACGACGACACCAGCCACTCACCCGGACGTCGAGACCTGCAGATGTGAGTTACCAAGTCCTGTCCAGGCGAGAGTAAAAGAGCCTTCACAAAGCCACGAGAGCCTCGACCCGGCCGAACGTTTGAAAAATCCCGTCTGCAGAGTAGGGAAACCTGAAGTGCGACTTGCCCTGGTCACTGCTCCTGCTCCTGCGAAACACAAGCCCCAGAAACTTAGGTCTACAGCCCCGACACCCCAAGAGCAAACCACCATGCTCACAAAGCCTAAACCCGAACCCCCAAAAACCCGAGCGTTTTCTGGGAGCCCAGGCGATCAGCTGCCTCTGGGCAGGCTCAACATCCGCGTCATCGGCCTCCGGGATCCGGGAAGCTAGGGAGAGACTTAGGGAAGGTAGGGGTCCGTACGTGGGCGAACCCGAAGCTGGGCTCGCACGGCATAGAGGCCTGCCGAGGGCTTCGTTCCAAAGCCTTTCGGCTTTAGGCCAAGCTCACTCGATGAACGCTCCAACCATCACCGACACAGAGATTTTCTCGTGCTTGCAATTTCAGAGCGAGGGCCACGAAGCCTCTGAACATCCGCAGATCCCCACACCGTTGCAAATCACTGAATGACGGCGCTCCCCTTGTCGGGCCTTGTGTCTCAGGGAGCCTCGCATGAAGTGCTGCTGTGAAGAGGTTCAGGGCTTGGGTGCTACTGTCACCGACTTTGGGACTGGGCAAACCCTGATCAAGGACTCTGCCTAAAGTCGAAGAGAGGCTTCAGCTTGCAAAAGACTCATGAAACAAACGGATTCTCGCAAACAAGGTTTCTCCTCTCGAAGTCCGAGAACCAATCCCGAAGCCTAACCATTGGCATTCGTTCAGTCAGACAGGGGTCCTGGATTCGTGAAAATGAGGGCAGGAGAGCAACCGCATACTTCAAGGTTTAGGAGCCGATGTCCCGGTTGGCAATGCCAACTACTCATTGCAAAAAGCACTTAATATACGGCAGGTAAAAGGAAAACTGATTGGAGCACCCAAAAACTGAAGTGTACCGGATGCTTAGAGTACCCCCTATGTCTCCATAAACATGCAGTCTAGAATACTTCCCAACCCTATTATATCTATTTTCCCCCTCCATGTTACCTTATCATTGCTCAACATGAATGGCTGCAGTTCGACGTTCGCGCTGTTCAGCCGCTCCTAAAAATCTGTGTGTGTGTGTGTGTATATATATATATATATACATATATATATATATACCTCTGCGATAGAGACCAGGCCATGTTGCTCGCTACGTATCTCTGTCTATCAATCTATCTATCTATCTGTCTATCTGTCTATCTGTCTATCTGTCTATCCATCTATCTATCTATCTGTCTATCTATGCCTATCTGCCTGCCTCACCTACACTCGCATTATTTGATCAGACATACTGTGCGGCTTCGAGTTCAAGGGTTAACGGTCAAGACTCCAACCTGCCCTAAACCCAGCACACAACAGATCCCAAACCCAAAGACACAACACTTCAATAGGATTCTCAGCACAAGGACCCCTAAATCACAGTCTCTGTGAAGCCGTAGTAAGCCCCTGGCACTCGCGCATAAGCTTGACAAATTCCTGCGCAAGGGCCAAAGAACCAGTGCAACCAGCAAAGGGTTCAGAGCAACCTAGGGGCTTTAACGACTAGAATAATAAGCGTTTCGCATATGTCTTTTGTGGCAAAGTAAGTGTAGAAGGAGCATAATGGGATACGAAGACTGAGTATTCAGACTGCTTTGGAGCTCGGACCTTATGAAATCTCCTAGTATCGGGGAGATCGTAGTAAAGGTTGTGGAGCTCGTGCTGCTAACATGACCCAGCTTGCACGTCGCGGACAACCACATTTATCCGATTATCGGTTTATGTGTTTATCTACCTCTACGAGCGCTTGTATACATATATGTATATGCATGTATATGCATATGTATGCGTATATGTAAAGGTATATATGTAGATGTCTGTGTCTCTACATTCTGATATATATATATATATACACTTGTTTTGTTTATATTTATCTATTTGTAATTCTTTATTTATTTGTTTGTTTATTCATTGCGTATTCATTCATTTGCATATATGGCGCGTTTCTACCTGTGCCTCCCATTCAACACTCTAGATCGTCAACCTCAAACCGCGAGAGACGCGCGCACACGCGCACGCACACACACCCCATAGCAGCTCCTGAAAATCGAGCGAGCCATCTCCATTCTGATCGAAGGTCTCGAAGATGTCTTCGGCAACTTCTTGGCACACCTGGCTGCAAAACGACTTCAGCCCCAAGCTTCAGCACGCTACTTTTCTGACTCCGACATCTTCCACCCCCTATCTTAAAGGATCAGTGGGTTCAACAAACCCGATTGAGGTTCTTGCCAGCCCAACTCTAGCCTACTTATTGACCAACAGTCCTCAGTCGAATCAGGCCTTGGGCTCTACGCCCAAATCACCCCAACCCAGAGCCCAGAACCTTTCAGTGAGTTCAAAGAGCGCGGCGAGCAAAGGTCTTGGGGTTTTTGCTACTATTGAAGCTTGTCCGTGGCTCGTGCCTGTGGCGTCCAAAGCTTGTTGACGTCACCACTCCGGAGAACCTCCAGAGCAATGGTCTATCTCTCTCTCTCTCTCTCTCTCGCGTCCCATATTGACGTTCCTTACATGCGTCTTGCAAACATCCAAATAACACGCACGAGGTGAAACGGTGAATACATGCATACAGACGACATGCAAACGACACCCCGACAAAGAACAGGCTGGAAGGCAGGCAGGAAGACAGACAGACAGACAGACAGACCAAACGAGCGAGGCAACGCAGAGAGAGGTTGAACAGCTGTAAATCCCAATACACTACACGACATGGCATGGCATCACGGGGCAGTACATTGCATTACGTTGCATTCCGGGAAATTAACACTGAAATGCATATGCTATGTTGCACTTACCATCAACATCCTTGTCATGAGCATTGGCTTTTGCATCGACACTGACACAGCAAACATTCACGTACAGACCAGCATTGACCATTACAACGTTAGCATGCGCGTTAACGTTGAAAATGACATTAGCACCAATATTAACATTCAGAAACACTAACTTTACTTATGCATGTATGCGTGCATGCATACATGCATAGAAACATACATGCGTACATACATACCTACCTGCTTCCTACCTACATACACCTATCATGCGTACATGCATGCCTGGCGCATGTACATAACATATGTTGCATAGCTTACTTACGCTGCATACATACAGTTACATACAATGCCCACACTACCTACACTACCTACTCGAGCTGCTACTAGCTACAACACCTACATTATCTGCAATGCCTACAATACCTATGACACCTGCAGTACATACAACACGTACATACATGCCCGTGATCAACTCATTCATGCATGCATGCATTCATTCATTCATCTGTTGATTCACTTAATTATACATCCACGCACCTACCCCGAGTACACCCACCCACCGAACTACCTACCTACCCTACTACCACCGAGCTACCTACCTGCCGGCCTACATACAAAACACGGACATGGCGTACACACTCATTTTCTGTACAACCGGCGACCTAACCGGAACACGCGAGGTTGCAATGGTTCAGAGCGAGGCCTGCTGGACCTCTTCCTTGGTGATACGGCCATCGTCGTCCTTCGCACACCGGATCTAAAGTAGAAGTAGTTGAACCTGATGCCTTGCACTGTGAGCCGTTTATCTCTGGAATGCAACCCTAGATTTTTAGATGGATGCAACAGAATGCCCAAAGAGTTCGTGTCCGACTAGGCCGACGGGCTCCTGTACGTCAAAGGCCTTGAAGGCGGCCCAGAGGACGTCTTCCTGGAGCTGAGACTTTAAGCGCGCGAAGGGGTTGGGCTTGTAGTTCCGTGTGTTGAAGCTTTGGGGCATAGAACAGCTTTTGCCTGCAAGTCTGCGGCGTTTTGACTCCTTCCAGAAGTAAAGTTCTAGCCTGTTGCGATGCAGGTTTGCATCTCGCACTATCTTTCAATGAAATCATCTTCAGTTCCCGTCAAGAGGCCAGGCAGCTTTGGGAGTGAAATCTTATGGTGAGCTGCACGTAACGATCAGGTGATAGGCGGCTTCTGGCCACAACCCTGAGCCCTGGAAGTCCCTGGAGCCCTGACACCTAAGGTCCCGAAATTACAACACTTGTTTTTCAAAGTGTGCGCGAGCAGAAAACTTCGCAGATCTGTATTCCTGCCTTCGCCACCGAATAGGCGATACAAAAAAGGACTTTGACTTCTGGGTCTATTCCTACATTTAAGAGATAACAGATAACACTTGCTTGCATGTAGCAGCCGCCTCCAAGCTCACGCGCTCGCCGATCCCCGCGGCACAGAACTCCTCGCAGAATCCCAAGGGCCACCAGGCTGCGAGAAAGGGGAGTTTGGGCTCAGGGCGAGTTCGGGCTTAGGGTATGAAGGCTTGAGGTGTGATTTGGGCTCATAAGGCTTGAAGGTAAAGCGCTAAGGGCTTAGGGCTTTGCGTTAAGGGTCCGGCCGAACCGGATGCGGATGACGGCAAAGTCTGGGAAACTCTTCGGCGACCGTTGAAACAAACTCCCCCCGAGGTCGCTGTAGTTTCTTGCAGCACCTCAGAAAGGTTGACCCTGAACCAAAAATCCCCAAAAACCAAAACCATAAACCTGACACCTCAACCCCAAACCTGAATTGAAAACCCGTGCCGTGCGCCCCAAAACCCAAAGCCCCAGACCACTCCGAGAGTTTTCGGGGCCTTCCCTGCTTCCGAATAACCCACGCAAGAGTGTCCGTGTAGTCGATGAAGCCAGATCCATCGAGGTCGAGCCTGGGACGCAGTGCGTCTGCCACTCTGCCGAGCTGCTCCCCTCGTCGAGCTGCAACCCGACAAACTTAGACCTACGGACCTACGACCTTCAAAATTCCAAAGCTACAGTATCCTTCCGCTTCCAAAGCTACCTGCCTAGTCGCTGGGCGCCGGGCTTTTGAAAGACTTGCTCAACGTCCTGAACCTGCGGGCTGTCGCGACCTCAGCTCAGGGACCTGCATTCCCGAAGCAGGGGGCCCCTATGATGAGAATAGGGCTTTGGGTACATTTTACTCTAACTATGGAAGGATTAGGAGATTATAAGTTATAAGGCAAGGGCAAGAATATTGCTGAGTATTCAGGTGGTTGCAGCTGGTCAGGTCTCCGAAGCCAAACACCTAGACCTGATTGGTGTGAAGACCATCATAAACTCTGTAAGACCCGCTCCAAGATCCCCCTTCGGATCCTGGGCACCCCCATTTCAAAGGCTCAGTTGTTCAGAGCACGGGGCTTAGGAAATTGACTTTCGACCTTGGCATCAACTGGGCGCGGTTGGAGTTCAGAAACCAAAAAGATTCAGGCTTGCAATGCAGAGGCATGAACAAACTATGCGGCGAGGTCATACCGCAAGTAGGTTAGAAACTTGGAATGTTGCACTTATTCAAGCCCCTATACTACGGACATGGCGCTGAAGCTCGCCCTTAAACTCCAAAATCAACCAGCTTGAAACTCTGAGCCCTGAATCCTGAATGGACAACTAGACTCCCAAATTCCCGAAAATCCTGCAAATCGCGACTTAGACGAAAGGAAGTGCGAACGGGGGCCCGGCCAAAGAACTTTTGGAATCCGGCTCGGACCTGATGAAGTTCAGGCTCCGAGGATCTCGATGGGTTTAGGAATTCAGGCTTACAGTCTGAGCTTCGGGGCATTTAAGCTATGAGTATGGGGGTTTAGGGTGCGCTGATTCTGAAGTCCCTTTCTCCACAGTGTGCACCTCAACCATCCCGTGCTCGGATTTTGCATTTAGGATTTCTGGCTTTCAATATGCCTGTATTCGCGCATGGAGTGTTGGGTTGCTCCCCCCAAGCCACCTCGTGGAGCTCGAGCACGCCGTCTCCGTTTGTGTCCATCTCGGCAAAGACCTCCGAGTTGTTCGTGCGCGGGCGATGGCATAAAAATGTAAAGTCCCAGACCCTGACTCACCGAAGTTGTTGTCGGGATTTATGTAAGGCGTAGACTCTCTAGTGGGCGTGGCTGAAGGCTTAAGGTTGTTAATGAAACCCTGAATAAGGATAATGGCGGGGAGCTCAGAAGGCCCACGGAGCATCCGGTTTCTTGAAGGCTCCGGGAAGGGTTTCAGGGACTCACGGCATAAGGGCGTGCCATAATGCTTAATGAAACACACGAAACTCGACCATCTTCAGGGTGTCGAGCCCGAGGGGGCGGTAAGGAGGGTACAAGGAAGGCACGCACAAACATAAAGGAAGCTGAAAGCCTCAAGTGTAACCTGCTTCTGATATACACTGGGTAGGAAGATCGAAGCTATTCGCAGAGCCTTGTGGACGTCCCGGAGGCTCTTGTGGTCCAACTGGCGCGCTACCTTGCAATGCACTTCGACTTTGAACTTCGAGCGCAGGTGGCTGTCGGGCTTCGGATGGAAACACTCCCGCCCAACGCACACCTAAGACGAAGCCCCAAGTCTCGCTTATCTGTTGCATCTACCTGCACGAACCTGCGGCATTCAACACCGCCCCAACCGTCTGTGAAGAGTTCGGGATTCCGTGTCCTTGTGGCCTGACAGACCTAGTTTCTGAAAGACTATCTCCTGGATCCCTCATCTTCAAGATCTCTAAAACCGAATCGAATGGCAGGGGCCGCGGCGGAAGCAACGCAGATAGTGAAGAATTGGGAGGTCCGGCTAAACCTCGTGGCTGGCAATTTGTTCTTTTCTCGTTTGCTTTGGGAGGGATCGGATTTCTGCCGATGTGGCCCAATGCCCCTCGAAACAAGCCGTGCCCCCAAACTGCACAGTGATTCCAGAATGTGACTTAGGACATGTATGTATGTATGTACGTATGTCTGTATGTCTGTATG